GGCGTCTCTGGCGGAGGCACCCAGGCCTCTCCTACGGGTTCCGGCCCGGGTGTGCCAAAAAGCAAGCCTTTCGCCGCTCCCATAAGGGCACCCTTCATGGCTCCGACGTTGGCGGCGCAGGGTGCAGAAGAAGGGTTCGGGGGAGACGAAGAGCTCCCGGGTTTGGGTTTTGCTTTTGTGGTGGCTCAAAGAGACTAAACCCTAAACCCTAAAAGTCCCAAGGTACGTTACAGTGTGCTTTAAAAGCAGGAAGCCTTCCGATTCTGATTCTTATGCAAAGCAACGAGAACATCCGCGTAAGGAGAAAGCTTTTTGACTGATGAACTGCTAAAGTATACGGACTGGGGAAAGAAAAATATTGCGAACAATTGCTAATTATTAAGACAGCTATGGTATGTGAGCTGCTTGGGTTTTCTAAACAGTGACAGCTTACGGCATGTGAGTTGCTAGTTGCCCCGGGTGCGATATGAAAGCATTGAGGAATCGACATCGATACTTTAGTTAAGGGGTCCTGAGCTTCCTTAGTACACCAATGTTCGGCTGCTAATGCCACTGTTATTCCACATACCCATCCCACACATACTTAGGGTTGAAGGGGCGATGAAGGTACTCGGAGGCTCCAAGCATATTATACATGCTACATTCTCCTAGGCACTTGAGAAGCTTTGCAACTGCCCTGAGCCAATTGCCCACGACTGCACACACTGGCAAGAGACGACATGGGAGTTTCCGAAAATAGGGGACCCTAATATAGTACCCTAAATAATAGGATCCTTAGTATACGGACCCCAGAATAAGGTACCCCTTATTTTCGGAAACCCCCACATGACATGGGTGCTTGCGAACAGCCACCAGTGTGCGCGTACAGCTGTCTTGCGGACTCTCGGTCCGAGGTCATGGTGATGACGAAGAGTTAACGCATTACAAAACACAAAGCACGTGAGGGTGCTGATGCAAGGATGTCATGATTCCGATGATGATGGTGATGATGATGATGACGATGTTGATCATCGGCAACGTCATCGTCATCAGCACCATCATGATGATGATGATCATCATCATCAGCGCTATCATCGTCACCATCATCACCATCAGCGCTGTCATCATCATCATCATCAGCAGCAGCACTATCATCATCATCATCGTCATCATCATCATCATGAGACTGATGGTGTTGACGATGATGGTGGTGCTGCTGCTGCCGATGCTGCTGCTGCTGATGATGATGATGATGATGATGCCGTGCCAATAATGATAATCAGCAGGAGGAGGAGTACTATGACGACGGCGACAAACGAGGTGCTGAGGACCATGGTAGTGACAACTGAATATTGACATGCGGGGGGTGAACATGGAACAGAAACTCATTATGAATGTTACATTATACAGACACAAATACACAGACATATAATTACAATCCATGATCAATCAAAAGATCTTCTTCTTGGGGTTTCAACATAGGGGCCGGGATGATCAAAAAGGGGTTTCTCGGGGGTATATTAAAGCATAGTTATATTAATGACCATAAAAAATACCAACATTGCTGTTAAGGTTCCTTATTATAAAAATAATTCTATAAAGGAGCCCCAAACCCTATTAAGGCCTCTATGGTAAGGAGATACTCGCACCACTCACTCCGACCTTACTGTTAGACTATTCGGCGGGCCTCTTCCATATCTATGAAGGTCAGCAGGGAGCCGTGCAGAAAGATCAGCAGCAGATGGTACGTCACCTTCAGCTCAGGTACTTTGGGTTTAGGGATTCAGGGATTATGCTAGTGATTAATAGGGGCCTTAATCATTAGAACAGGATTTTGGGGCCCGTTGTACTATACTTATAAAAAGGAACCCCCAACATAGTATTTAATTTAGGCCCCTATATTACAAGGACAACTGCGGGTCCGCGACATGTTGCACCGGAAAGTTTCCCAGAGCAGACTGCCGCAAGGCTCATTCGCACAGGATAAACGGCATTCCGACTCACACTTTAGAATTCCAAGTCTAGGGCTTAGGGTTTAATATAGGGGCCTTAATGATTAGAATAGAGTTCTGAAACCCATTATACCTAGGTGCCCCAGTTGCCCCTTAATGATGCGGGTGCCCTTGTTTCTCACTGTTTGGTTTCCATAAGGGAGCCCGAAAAGACAAAGGGCAAAAGGGTGCTACTGGGGAACCTAGATACTTTAAATCCTCCACATCGACTCACCAGCACGACTTAAAAGGCTCAGAGGACTTGGAAGTATGCTGTAGAAGTAGAGGTAGATGAGTAGTTGTCAAAATTATGGTCCCTTTTTGGGTCCTTATTATAATACGGCACCTAAGATTTAGGGTGCCCAAAAAGGGACCCTAATTTTGACAACCACCCATATGTACTCTCACTGGGGTTATTCCACTTCTAGGCCTACTTCTAACCCTTGGATGAATTCCGGTGAGCCCCAAATCAGATTGCCAACTGCATCCAAAAGCCTTTGAAACTCTCCCAGGCCCGAAAGTTTGCATCATGGCCCGTGCAAGTGGTGCTTAAGGTTTAGATGGGTTTCAGGTCGCCGCGAGATGAACTAAAAATTGGCGACCATCAGGGAACTACAAGGCGTCCCAAAGGCCATCTATTAAGTACTGGTTTAGAGTTTAGGGTTTGGGATTGGCACCAACGTTGAGTTTCAACAATCAAATGGCAAGGCCCTTGCTATGAGCATGCTTAGGTAGGAGGGAGCCTCCTTGGAGGACCCACAGACACTCAAGTATTTCAGACACCCAAATACACCCACAACAACAAGATCGATGTATTGAGGGCCACCGGAAGAGGGGACCCCCAATTTTCTGACCCGCGCCATGTAAATCCTGTTAAACCCTTACAGCGGTCCACTCGTCTCAAAGACTCATCACCCTTCAGAGTGCCCTAGAGACGAACAAAAACCCTAGAAACCCTAAACCCTAAACCCTAAACCCCTGGCGATCCAAATGCCTACTTGGAGGATCATGGGACTTAGTAAGTAAGGTTATAAGGGGCCCTTTAAGGGATCTATAGGGGGGGGTACTATTAAGGTTTAGGGTTTAGGGTCTACTTGGAGGTTCATGGGACTTAGTAAGTAAGGTGATAAGTACCCTAATTGGGGTTATAAGTAATTATAAGTCTAGTTACCTTGTTTATAACCCTAGTTACTAAGTCCCATGAACCTCTAAGTAGGGTTACCTGGCGATCGATCCAAATGCCTACTGTTCTGGGGGCGATGCTGTATAGTCAAGTGGTCATAAAGACTGTGTAAGCTAGGGACCATAACCTACTGTTATTTGGTAGGGTTTGGGGGTTGTACCCAATAAAACAGGGGTGAAAACCTACGTGCTTGCAGGGTTCGAGTTGCAGGGGCAAGGTGTAAGGATTCGTGGGTTTGAGATTTTCCGGTGCAGGGTTTATGTGTGTAGAGGTGGTGTAAGGCCTAAACCCTAAACCCTGATAAACCTTATAAACCCTAAACCCTTATAAACCCTAAACCCTATGGGTTTTGGGTTGGGAAGCCGCAAAACAAAAACGACAACTCACCTGTCGCCGAAAAGTCCTACCTTCTTTCGGGTTCCTGATTTTAGGTCTGGGGTTTAGGGTTTGGGGCTTAGGGTTTTAGGGTTTAGGGTTTGGGGTTTAGGGATTTGGGGTTTAGGGTTTGGGCTTTTGGGGTTTAGGGTTATGGTTGCTATATATCTAGTTCCTTAACAGGTAGGTCTTTTGGGCCACAGGCATGGCTAACCCGAATCCAAACTGTTATCTACTCAACAGGTGCTCAAAACCCGGATTGCCCTGACATAACTTTCCTTTTCGGTCAGGATCCCTTCAAGGAAATGCATTCCAAATTCCCACTTTCGTAAGACCTTTCAAACACTTTCGAAGCCCCAAACCCCTGTGTCCCTCCATACTCAACCCATTGAAAGTACCCGTTGCCAAGCTACGCTTTTGGGGGCTTCCTACCAGAATCCTTCGACCCGGATCTGTCATTACTGGGAGCTAAACCTTCTTATTCAAAGCGGTCGGCACTGGATCCAAGAATCAAGACTTTAGGGCTCTGATCTAGGATCCCTTCTTCGCTGAAGCCCCTGTCTTCAGACGATCTCCACCAGGGGCAGCCAAGTTGCAGACGTCACCTTTTCTTTCGTTCGGTAGGCTTCGGGCAGGAGCAGATGTTGTTGAGTGTGCAAATTAAGGCCAAGCACTTCAACATCCAGTATACCCAGTACGCAAGGGATGTTTTCCCAAAAATGTACTCGGGATCCCTATTTAACAGAACCTGTAGTTTAATTCAAGGATGCTGGTGCGTGCAAAGCCCTATATAAACGCCATACAATGAGCCTCCTCTGTGATGTGGGGTTTATGGGATATGCAACGTAGAGCCTTTTTCTAAGAGTATAGACCCCTTACAACTAGACAGTATTCACAACTATACTGCAATACCATACTCCCCAATGCCTATTCAGCCTATTCTAACTATTCAGGCCCCTGTACGTGATAACTACCTCTAAACCCTTAACCCTAAACCCCAAACCCTGAACCCTAATCTCTAAACCCTAACCCTAAGGGTCCAAGTACCTAATAACATATGCTCTTCTGAATACTAACCTATAAAAGTACTATCCGTAACCCAAGTACATGATTATTGGGTCCTTTGGACCCTCAGGGTAAACTCACTAAACCCTAAACCCTAAACCCTAAACCCTGCAAGTGCACAGGACACTTGTAGACCTGGCATGCGGAACCAGGTTGATGTATCACAGCTTTATGGATCGAGAGTCTTAGGGGAAAGGCCGAAAACATCGCACCGCTCGTCCGTGCCATTTCGGAGTGCCTGCAGCCTGCTCTTAGTATCTTGTCTCTGCTTGGGAATCAGAAGCTACCATCACAGAGCTGCCATCACTTGCATGGTAGCGGAGCCCGGTCAGTGGACGACCGGGTTCCAGATCCAGGGACCTTGAAGTGTGCTTGTGCCCGCGGAGACCGGCACGAGAAAACAAGTCATGGCAGCGGCCTCAGTGACACGAGGCCGTGATGGGATACCAGCCTGGGACGGAACGCCGTCCAGTTTTGAAGAGTATGCTGAGCAGTGCTTGAACTATGAGCAGAGTACACCAACATACAAACGTTACTTGGTGGGGCCCAAGTTGGTGGGGGAACTGACAGGGGCCGCAAAGAGGCACATCGCCGGGCAGCCAACGACATGGCTGTCACATGACCAAGGTGTGGACACACTCCTTCGACATCTGCGAGCATGTTTGGGCCGTCCACAGATTCCAGAGATGACTGAGTATCTTAACAGATACTTCCGCCAAGGGCGGAGGAAGCCACAGGAGTCGATGAATGAGTACATTTCACGCAAATGTGAGGTGTATCTCAGGGCGTGCCAAGCCATGCAGAGGGTGGCACCGTACCATCAGGACAAGTCCAAGGAGCACCACAACCAGTGGAGCCCCGGGGACAGCTATGACCACGGACAAGGAAGATGGTATGGCACGCGCACCTGGACCAACGACAGTCGCCGAAGCAGCTGGGACTCGAACAGCACGAGTCGCGAGAACCACGCACCTGCGACCACGCAGGCGGCAGCACCGACCACCACCGGGACAGCGGGCAATGGTGACGAGGGAGCGAGTGAGCAGAGCGATGGAAGCCAGAGGACAGACGCAGACGCCTGGAGCCACCAGTCCTGGTGGGGAGGATCCACCTGGCAGCCATGGGGCTATGGCTACGGAAGTTACTACGGCTGGGAGTCGGCGGGAAGCAATCAGACCCGACCTTCCACACGAGGACGACCTCTTCCTGAGCTACTTCCGGAGTTCATACAGGGGTGGTATCTCCTGCAGGACGCAGGGCTGACGCAGTCTGAGAGGAACCTGGTACAAACGGCCGTACAGAATGATTTTTCTCTCCAGCGGGTGGCACAGGAGCTGCGCACCCAGTTTCACGACGTGGAGCACCAGCGCCGGGAGCACCGGCCCCACAGCTACCTCGGCACCATTGCCGAGGATGAGGCGACGAGGACGAGGAGCACCACGAGGAGGGCTTCAACACCGAGGACCTCGATGAGGAGGAGCTCATCCTTTGGTCCGAGGCCGCCGAGGAGATTCAACAGGCATGTGCAGTGATTCAGAACGCCAGACGGACTTTGAAAGAAGCACGGGCAAAGCAATCTGCAGTGCGCCTAGCGCGAAAGTACTACAAGCCGGGCAACTTCAACAAACCCAAGGATGATTCGCAGATGATTTGTCTAAAGCGCGGGGTCAAAGGCCACAGGGCAGCCAACTGCACAGGACCAGCAAGGATTTCTTCCTCGACGAGCTCTACCCAAGCCGCACCTTTTGTGTGTTTCTCTGATCAAGCCTTGGCCGCGCAAGGCTCCGGGGAACACGAGCTCCTCAGCACCAAGGAGGCAGTCAAGGCCGGCTATGCGGTGATTGACGGTGGTGCAACACGGACTTTGGGTTCCGTAGCGGCCATCCAGAACGTCATGGACATCAATGCTCGCAAGTATGGCGATTCCCGGGTGTTGGCCGTGGATTTGGCCAACACACCGGTCTTCGGCTTCGGGAACTCTACCGAGGACCGCTGCACCAGCACCATAGACCTCGGCATCAGCGCCGGGAACAGAGAAGGCCAGATCTCCATTCACGCGCTGGACAAGGGAGAAAGCCCGATTCTCCTTTCAGTGGCCTCTTTGAGGTCACTTGGGGCCATCATCGACTTCGAGGCCGACTTGGTGCGCTTTAGGGCAGTGGATCCCCGTCGAGTGTTGGCAGTGCAGAGATCAATCACCGGCCACCAGCTCCTTCCGCTCACGGAGGACTTGTACGCCTCCGCAAGGACCTCGTCGCAGCCTGTTCCCAGCTTGAGAGAGTTTGTACAGACACCAGCTAGGGAGTAGGGACAACGCACTTCTAACTGTTCGCCTGGCGGGAAAGAAGTGAGATTTGATTTTTCAGGCACAGGGGGCGTTGCCAAGCAATGCCAACAATCGCACAACCGCATTTCCAATCTCAATGATGATGTCACGAGTAGGGTCGACGGTGATGATGCTGAGGGTGGTAATGATTTAGAAAGCAGGGAATCCGAGTCTATGAGCAGCCGTGGATTCTCGAGGGAGTCCTCACAACGAGTGCGTGAACAAGTTCCTGCCTCAACCTGCCCTCGCGCTTCACAGCATGGACATCCAGAAGCTCAAGAAGGCAGAGCTCCAGGCGACTCTTCGGGAGCTTGGGGAGGAACCGCCTACGCGCTGGACCAAGAAGGAGTTGACTCAGCGCATCTTGGAGATCAAACCCTCGTTGGCCGAGAAGCCGACGAAGCAGGTGACCGACCTGCAAGCCAAGATCAAGGCCCTTGGTGTGGCCGCCCGAAAGAAAAGTACGCTGACCGCATTCTGCGAAGAGGTTGGAGTGGACATGAGAAGCAACCACAACATGTGGTCCATGGAGCAGGCAGCCTTACGCCGCCTCTACGATATCAGCACTCCGGCTGCAGAGGATGTGGTGGGCTTTGGGCAGCACAGCACACTGCTGTATCGCGATATCTTGATCCTCCACCCCAGCTACAAGGATTGGGCAATCCGTGCGGCAAAGACGGCTACGGCGGACTACCGCTTGGTGCGCCTGGCAACGTGGCTGGAACAGCAGAGCAGCGAGGACATCGAGCTGTACCAGACCAAGAGCGAGATCATGGACAAGAAGAGCAAGGATATCAAGGCGACGCCATCGAAGGCCAGCTCCTCCAGCGAGGTGCCGGTGGAGCAATTGAAGAACATGATGGAGACGATGCACAACCTCCAGCAGGAGGTGGCCGAGATGCGTGCCGAGAAGCCTCGCAAGGAGGTCCGTGGCAAGGCGACCGACCCGGCGATGACGGAGACCAATGGTGAGGGCCCCAAGAAGATGTGAACCACAGTGCGGATGAGGACTCAGCCGGGACCCACGTAGCACCACACGGTGACAAGCCGGGAACTGAGAAACAAGGTCAGTATCTCAGTAAAGAGTCCGCGTCGTATATGGAGTACAAAGCCTGGTCCTTAGTTCCCCAGTTGTTTCAAGGATTGGTTTCTCAGTCACGGACCGTTCTCCTAGAGGTGGCCTGCTCCCCAGAGAGCAAGCTATCTCAATTGGTCCAGGAAAGGGCTGGACATGATACCGCCGCTATCAGGTGTTCGGACTGGAACGGACATGACTTGTGCACCACCAGTGGGGTGCGCAACATACTTGAAAAACTGGATGCCCTTCGTCCGATGCGTGTGTGGATAGATCCTCCCAGTGCCGCTTTCAGCCCCTTACAGAATGCAAACCAGAAAGATGAAGAACAGAAGCAAGAATTACAACAAAAGAAACAACAGTGCACGCGCGCGTACGTGGGGGTAGCATACTGGTGGATGCGTGCGTGCAACGGGGGATACACGTGACATGGTGCATGCCTGAACAGTCCAATGCATGGAGGTTGCCAGTGCTACAACGATTGAACCAGAAACAGGGTTTCAAGAGCTGCGTGACCAAGGGATGCCGTGTGAACCTCAGAGGGTTGGATGGTAAAAGCCTGTCCAGGAAGGGGTGGAAGCTCCACTCGACACATGGGCGGCTCACAGAGCTGCTCCACGCGCCTTGCGCGTGCCACAAAGGATACAGGCATGCTCCGGCCGGGACTCAGTCAGGGCCAGAGAACTATACAGATGAGTTCGGGAGGCGAGTAACGCAGGCTCTCTTTCAAGAGCACAATCATGTCAGTCTCTTGAGTGAGTTGCAGGGCAAACCAGATTTGCCCGAGGCTTTCGGCTGTGGAACATACTGTGTCTGTGAACAGACTGGAAGCTGTCACTGCTGCCTTAAACCTCCAGCACCCTCGCCTAAGGACTTCGAGGCCCAGGCCACTAGTGAAGAAGCAGGACCTCCAGGCTACACAACAGGTTCTCCGTACTGTAAAGAACACATGGAACCCGAAAACAACGAGGCCATCGACGACGCTGACGGCGACAATGATCAGGTGTTGTACTGTCAAGACAGTCTGAAACAAGCTGAAAGCAAAGCCAACCAGCTTCTTAACCAGAGTGACTTTAGCCACGAAGCCTGCACCGAACTGATTAGACAGCTTCCTCCTGGTGGCAAGAACCACCGGAATATGGTACAGGAACCCAAAGACCCCAGGAAGGTTCAGGGTTATTTCACGTTCGGGTTGTACACACATGGGAGTTTCTCAGGCCTCACCAGACACACACATGTGCTGAAGCAGTGTAATAAGTACTTCTGTAGATACCTGCAGCGACATGCGCCACAAGACCAGAAGTTCACGTCCTACGTTGTGTCTAGGAACATGAGCATGCCCCTGCACAAGGATAACCACAACGATGAGGCTCACCCAAGCTGTGTCATAGGCCTAGGTAGCTACCAGGGAGGACGACTTTGGGTTGAGCACACGGGAACAGAACCTATCATGAATCCTGTGCACAAGGTGACGCCAGACGGCCAGCGCCGAGCTGGAAGCCGCTTCGAGACGATGCACCAGACGGTTCAGTTCCACCCGAAGGCGTGGCATGGCGCAGAGAAGTGGACGGGGGATAGGTTCACTGTGTCGTGTTATGTGAGTAGGAGCCACAACACCGTGCGTGAGGACTCTAGGAAACAGCTGCAACAGTTAGGTTTCCGAGTGCCAGTCAAGCCCCGAAGCTCCCAACAAGCCCTGGCGGTGAGTGAACAGCCCCTGAGCGAGCGAGAGAAAGAGAGAGTGAAGCGACAGTTGTATCTGCTGCGTGCCGCCACAGGACATGGTAGTAACAGGAGTCTTCTGGAAGCCTTACGTAGGCGACGGGTGCATCCCGATGTGCTCCAGTTGGCACAGGATTTCCAGTGCCCCATTTGCCATGAGAAACGAAGGGTTCAGCCTCGACACTTAGCGTCCCTCGAGCCCCTGCCTCCCAAATGGAAGTGTATCCGTGCGGATATAGGCCACTTTTATCATGTTGAACGGAATGAACATGTGCAGTTCATGATGATAGTGGATGAAGGATCAAGATTCCGAGCAGCTCGAGTGCTGTCAACGGGCTCAAAACAACAGCCCTCAGCAGCAGCATGTCTTGATTACTTGAGGGATGGATGGCTGCCTTATTTTGGGAGTCCACAGACCCTCCGGGTAGACCCGGCGGGAGCCTTCCGAGGAACAGATATCGAAGAATTCTGTGACAGGAATCAGATTTATCTGGATGTAATCCCAGGGGAAGCACACTGGAAGCTGAGTGCTGTAGAACAAGCAATTCAGGGTGTGAAGACCCTGACGCATAAGCTTGTGACGGCGGAGCCTGAACTGGACACCCGCGAGGCCCTGGCGACAGCTATCAGGACCTTCAATCAGAGAGAGGTCATCCGTGGCTTCTCTCCTGTGCAACATGCGTTGGGACAGAGCCCCGATGCAACAGGCAAGATGGATTTCTCCGGCAAGGCACCACCGCCAGAGCTGCTAGTGGAAAACCCGGGCGGCGAGTTCAGCCGCAACGTGGAGAGACAGCGCGTTGCTGAGCAAGCCTTAGCAGACTGGCAGGCTCAGCAAAGACTGTCCCGGGCCCAAAGTTCCCGGGGACGACGTGTGCTGGATTTTACACCGGGCGAGTTGGTGTACTTCTGGCGGTCACCAGTGAGCGGGAAGTCACGAACCGCGCCGGGAGACAAGCATGGTCAGTTCTTGGGACCGGCGAGGATATTGGCCACTGAGACAAAGCGTAATGAAGACGGTACGCTCCAGCCCAGCTCCTCGGTGTGGCTGGTCCGTGGACGCAGCCTCATTAAGTGCGCGGCGGAGCAGATCCGACGCGCATCAGTTCGAGAAGAGCTGATTGAGGCACTGGACAAATCGGATCCAGTGCCATGGACCTTCACCAAGGTGGCCGAGGAGATTGGAGGCAATCGCTACCAGGACGTGACCGAGTCAGTGCCAGAGGACGACTGGCACCACGCTCAGGACGTCGAGCGGGTGGAGCCACCGAGTCGGCGACGCGTGACAACCAAGCGACCTTTAGAAGAGACAACCACCGAGGCGAGCTACCAGCGCAGCGACACGTCGACACGCGCCGTTACGTCACGTCCCCGGCCGTACCCTGCCACCACGGCAGAAACCGGACAACAGTGGTGGACCGAGGTGCACGAGGCGATGTGGAGCGACGAGGTTAGCTTGTCGTGACCTTCCTACTTACTTTGTTGGCTGCATGAAGAAGCGAGCCATCGAAGTGAGCGAGCGCAGGCTTTCCGAGGAAGTGCGGAAGCTCTTCCGGGAAGCAAAAATGGTGGAGGTCAAGAACTTCGTGGCGGCGAAGGCCTTTGAAGTCCTCCCGGAAGGGCTACGGCCGTCGAAGGAGCAGGCGGTGGGCATGCGATGGATCCTGACGTGGAAGCTGAAGGAGGATGGAACCTCCAAGCCGAAGGCGAGGGCAGTGCTGCTTGGCTATCAAGACCCGTCGTATGAACATCGCGCAACGACAGCTCCAGTCATGACGAGGCAGACGAGGCAGATGCTACTACAGATTGCTGCAAATCGAGGATGGCGAGTCGCGAAAGGAGATGTGTCCGGAGCATTTCTTCAAGGCCGCGAATATCCCGACCAGCTCTACTGCGTGCCCTGCCCTGAAATCTGCGAAGCACTTGGCGTACCAGCCGAAACGGTCACCCGATTACGCCGCGCATGCTACGGCTTAGTGGATGCGCCACTGGAGTGGTACAAGACGGTGGCCGAGTTCCTGGAGAGCCAAGGACTGGAAAGGATGTGGTCAGACGCTTGCTGCTGGGTGCTGCGCGAAGGCACCCAAGTCATTGGCGTAATTTCAGGACATGTAGACGATTTTCTGTTCACAGGAGACGAAAAGAGCGCCAAGTGGAAGCAAGTTATTGCCGCCATCCAAAGTCGCTTCAAGTGGGGTGACTGGGATTATGATGAGTTTGTTCAGTGTGGGGTGCAAATCAAGCGTGTGAGTGATGGCTTTGAGCTGACACAGGCTAGATATGTGGAGACCCTGAAGGAGATACCTGTCAGTGCCAACCGCAAGAAGCACCCCACTGAGGAAACAACGGACCGCGAGAAGAGTCAACTGAGGGCTCTCCTGGGCGGCATATCCTGGCACGCCCAACAAATTGGGCCCCACTTGAGTGCTGAGGTGAGCCACAGTCAAGTGGAGACACTTACCAAGGCTAACAACTGTCTGCGACGAGCTAAGGCACACAAAGGTCATGCCATGAAGATTCATGCCTTCACCCAAGGCGAGGAGCTAGGCATGTTTGGATGGGTTGATGCTGGAAACCAGAACCGGGTTGATGGTTATAGCACGCAGGGAATTTTCATAGGTCTGGCGCCTGTGGAACTACTGCAAGGCGAGTTGTGCCGAGTGTCGGCCATGGCTTGGCGCAGCAACCGCATCGACCGAGCCTGTCGATCGCCGGGAGCCTCAGAGGCACAAGCCGCCGTGAACGGCGAAGATGCCCTGTTCTTTGCCAGGTACCAATGGCGGGAGATGCTGCACGGAGACATTGATGTACGAGCTCCAGCGGAGGCAGTTAGACAGGTGACTGGCTGCCTGATTACGGACAGCAGAAATGTCTACGACCGCCTGAACTCGGCGGTGCTGAGCGTCAAGGGCGCCGAGAAGCGCACAAACATTGAGCTGATTGCTTTAAAGGAGAGCCAGCTGCACACGGGACTCTTGATGAGATGGGTTCATTCCGAGGCCCAGCTGGCAAACGCATTGACTAAAGCTTCCACATGCAAGGAACTGGAGTTGTTCTACGGCATGAATCACTCATGGAAAATCGTCGAGGACCCACAGATGCAGTCGGCTAGGAAGAGGAAAGCTCTAGGCAAGGATCCCCTGTCTTCTAAATGAGATGATGTGTGAATCAATCAAGAGATGGAAATGCGATTT